TTCTTCTATTGATGGAGAACGAGGCTGGCTTCATTGCCCAGCTCTTGTGAAGACAATCAGTGATAAACAGAGATGTGCAAGCAGAAATATGACCATTCTGGCTGGTTTTTATTGAGCATGAATCTCTTAAAGCTGTCTTTGCTCAAAGGTGTCATCGCTCAGGAATTTCTTACAGCTGTGAGTGGCTACCCTGAGGCAGAAGTAACAACACAATGGGATGGAAAATTAATTTTAGCAGGGAAAGAATATTCTAAAAGACACAGAAGCAAACCATCTTTGACAAATTTAAGCTTCTCTATCTGTGTATAACTTTGCCTGTTGCCCTAGAGGTTGAATGAGGCTCATAATTTGTTCAAAAATTTCTAATTCCTCTTTATCTGCAAACTCAAATTTTATTGCACAATAACATTTTACTATAAATATGGTTTTCAAAGTACATCAATAATTTTATATTAATATATTTATATAGTAATAAGCCATTTTCTTGGCAAATTGAACCTGGGAATAAATATAAGATCATACTGCTGGGAACCAATCTGATTTTTTTTTTGTATGACAGATTGTACAATTTGTGTCATTAACCTAAATGGCTATTTCTCATGTGAAATATACTCTGCAGATGGAGCTACCACTTAGCCAGTTTGGTACAATTTGGAGACCGAGGCATCCTCTTCTCCAGGCATGAGGCTGTCAGTAATCAGAAGTAGTGCATGGCACAGAGGCAGAATTAGTGCCAGAGCATCTGCCTGAGCTCAGATGCTGTTTGAGCATTTTGCTGGACCCCAGAGCCCCTCCCACAGGTGGAGCAATGGCTCAGTGTAACAAATACAGCTGGGTGCAGGCAGCCAACGTTACTACATGGAACCTTACGTTGTGGGGCCATCAAGTGGCATTTACTGTATGCGGCACTCATGACACTGGGGTGTTCATGTGGCAGGACCTGAAGATGAAGGACACCTTCCTGGATCCTGAGCTGTTCTAGCTCTTCTCTCTGCTTTTGGATATTTCCATCAGGTGATATATGGACTCCCTCCTTCCCTTCTGTCCATGATCATTGGAATGATCATTGTAACGGGTTTTCATTCACAATGCTCAGGAATTGGAGAGAAATGGGGACACCCCACCTCCCCAGACTGCCAGAAGCCTAATGCAGACAGTGTTTTGCATAAGAGCCCATGTTTACATAAAGCCAGGGCAGGAGGGAGTCATTCTGAGGCGGAAGGGAAGGTGTGTGGGAAGGGCTCCAACAACAAGGATGCCTGGCCAAGGCACAGGTCACATGGTAGTGAAGGTGTGGTCCTTTTCTGAAGGTCTGGCCATTGTGTGCAGTTGAAACAGACGTCAGGGGATTCTTCCTCTAGTCAGATGAATTGATTTGTCTTAAATATAGTATTAAAATGCTCTGGACTTTTACTCTTGGAGCATATTACAGAATCCATGTTATTGATTTAATGAATCTATGTTATTGATTTATAAAAACAGCATTTGAAGATGACCAGTTCAGTCACAGTGTAGACCTGAGGAGAAGACCCTGTCTGAGTATGCTCAGGAAAATCAGTACAGTCTAGTTAGAACGTTTCAATTTCAAGCTTCTGATGGGTATTAAAAATGATTAAAAGGGATTTCAAAAGTAATTAAAATACCCTGAGGGTGCCACTCTAAATTAGGGAGCCAACATTGAGAATCACATTGGTGCTTTAAGGTACATTAGAACACAGAGTACATGTGACTACAGAGTGATGCTCTAGACAGTAAATCGAGAACAGGGGTTGCTTATTCCTGTTCAGTTGACACAGTATCCAGTGGTGCTCTGCTTTGGGGGTCCATTTCCTCTCTGTGTTCAATAATTTGTGAAGCCAGTGCTTGTTTGGTGCCTGGCCTATGTTGTCATGGAGTGAGGTGCCTGGAATCCTAGAAGATTGGGTGGTATTGAGGGCTGCTGCTGCTATGTTTGAACCCCAATGAAAACACATGGTGGGTAGAGGATGGAAAATGTGATAGACATTCCCTGAAATTGGATAAAAGGATAGATTTCTTTCCATAGGATCAAAGGTAGTTTGCAGGCTTCTCAAGTTTCTTACAAGAGATACCCAGAAGAGTGCCTGAAAACAGAGAGGTCGGACAGTGTGGTGTATGTATACATCTTAACGTGGCTAGAGCAAATATGGGTAGAGGAAGGGATTATTGGCAGAAAGTGAGACAGGAAATGAAGAACTAGGCCATATTTCTGGGGCATGTGATTTCCAATCCAGAATCTGGACCTGATTCCTCATGTTTACAGAGACTAGGACATCCTGAGCAGATAGGGGTATCTGCTAGAATTAATAGAAGAAAGAATATGCCGTCTAAAATAATATGGCTTTTTACTTTGTGAGCTGCCATAAGAAATTCAGTTGGAAGTTCTTCTTGTGGGGTTGAGACCTGGCTTTTATAAATAAAGTATGCCCACTCTCTCCAGAATGCCCAGCATCAGACAAACACAAAAACATCAAACAACAACAGCACCAACACCAACCTCCTCAAGCAGCCAGTGCAAAAATGTTTGCCGAGACAACCACTCCTTAATCAACTCCCTGAGGAAAGTCAAGGTGAAAGTTTCTACTGACTTATTTCCAATATGTCCATTGGGGAAAAGACATTTAAGATTTTCAGCATTCTAATTCAGAAAATCTAGTAGAAATTTAAATATATTCTAATAAAAACTTTGAGACCAAAATTAGTTCAAAAATAAATGGGCTAGCTTTCTGGGGCCATGTTTGTATTTGAGGACTGAGCAGCCACAGGACCCATGAGGATCTGAGTGGCTTTGAGCTGCCACCAGGGACCATAGTGATATCTGGTCCCAGGCTGCTGTTGAGGACCATGTCTGGGTCCATGGTCCTGCCATAGCCAGGGTCTATGTTGATGTCTTTGGCCCATGTTGCCACCATAGGCCACACAGATGCCCAGGGCCTAGGCTGCATTCTTGTGACCATGTTGGTGTTCAAGAACTGTGCTGCCTCTGAGGCTGAGCCGATTTGAGTGTCCGGCGCTGTCATCTGGGGCCATATATCATCTAGGCCAGGGTTGCTACAGAGGGCCATGTCTGGGTCCATGATCCTACCATAGCCAGGGTCTGTGTTGATGTCCATGGCTCCTGTTACCATCTAGGGTCGTATGGATGACCGGGATGGGGTCAGTCACCTGAGACAATGCCAGTGTCTGAGGACCATGCAGCTGCTGGTGATATACTGATTTGAGGGGGCCTGTGCTGCCACCTGGGGCCATGAAGGTGTCCCAGGCTGGGCCTCTGCCTAGGGTCATATCTGGATCCATGACCCTGCAGTGGCCCGGCATCTGGGGAGATGTTCATGGTTCCTGTTAACAACAGAAGGCTCTGAAGATGCCTAGGGTCTGGCAGCCACCTCAGTCCGAGTTGTTGTTGTTGTTGTTGTTGTTGTTGTTGTTGTTGTTCTTCTTCTTCTTCTTCTTCTTCTTCTCCTCCTCCTCCTCCTCCTCCTCCT